TTAGCACTGTTGTGTTAGATGTTCAGTACATCTTTGGAAGGTTTTCGTTGACTTCGGAGAAAGAAAAATGACTTTAAAGAAAAGCACCGGGGATCATCAGGGATCATACAAAAGCTGGAAAATGCAGTTCGTACAGCTTCTCGCTCCTGTTCAACATGTTCATAGTGAAGGGTAGTAGGAATACTTACGGATAGGTACACAACGTGAAATCCAGGTATCTGGAGTTTCGAAATATAAAGCTTTCTTTTAAGCTGCGATCCCACTCCCCAGCGGGGAGGTTAGTGCATGCGGCCCTTAGTCGAAAGCACCAATTTAGATGAGACATATATCATCTTGAAGCGCTTGAAACGCTGATTCCAAATCTGCAGTTTCTAGCTGCGGAGCGGTTTTGTAGAAGGAGTTATGAAGGGTGTTCCCCTCTGAGGTTTAGGCGTCCTCCAGCGGTCTCCCCTTATCTGTAAGCACTGTAGAAGAGTATCAGCTGATGGCAATTGATCTAATGGTGAGTAACTTGAATGAAGATTACAGTAAAGATTATAATACTCATATTACTTACAAGGGAACCGTGTCAAGTCGAAGTGGCCTTTCGGGATGAGACCCATACTGATTTGAAGAGCATTGATCGATGACTCCAAATCTGCCTTCCAAATCTGCCAAGCGCCTCTGGACGCCGAAATATGCTCGTTTTTCGGGTCAAAAAATTGAAGGCAAAACTGAAGCAAAATCGCCCAAATTTGCTCAAATGGTCCAGTGTCGAGTATCAGAGCTGTTTATGCAATGGATACATTTTATTTTATATGCTAATACTTAATATTGCTTTATCTGAGCGTTGGAAAAATTGTAACAATCAATTTAACCTAAAATCTGCAGTCATTTTTCGTTCCGAAAAACGGTCATAACTCGGCGTCCAGAGGCGCTTGGCAGATTTGGAAAGCAGATTTGGAATCATCGCTTAATACTCTTTAAAGCAGTGTGGGTCTCATTTGGAAAGGCCACTTCGACTCGACACGGTTCCCTTGTTAGGTTTTTTTCAACACTTCTAACTATCAATATCATCAGAAGATTCATGCTTTAGGGATTTAAGGCCATTTAAAAGTTCAATTTAGCATGCGAAGGGGATTAAAACCTTGACACTCTCTTTATCAAGCACGTCACTTACCACTAGGTCAGTTGCCACCAGTTGGTACTCCTCTACAGTGCTTATAGATAAGGGGAACCTGCTGAAGGGCGCCTCAACTAAAGAGGAGAAAGAGGAAACACCCCTCATAACTTCCTCTACAAAACCGCTCCGCAGCCAGAAACTGCAGATTTGGAATCAGCGTTTCAAGCGCTTTAAGATGTTATATGTCTCATCTGGATTGGTGCTTTCGAGTAAGTATCCTCTCCTTGTAAGAATTCTTAAGAAATGGCTTTTTCAGCATTTTTTTCATTTTTTTTCAAAAATTCATAACTTCTGGAAGAAGACCTCGATCAGCACAAACTGACTCAGTCAGTAATCAAATGGAAAAATTAGGATAATGGCTTTTCTGGATTTTATCGCATAATTCCTGAATTTTTAGAATTAACACATTTAGTGCACAAAATTAATAGATACGGTTTGTGTCAATCAAACTTGTGCTGCTTTTAAACCATAAGGCCAAATGATTCCTATACTACTAATTAAAAGCAAAAAACTAAAAAACTAGTAGTTACTTCTTGGTAATGCAATCATAAGGTATATCCTTTGTTGCTACACCGAAGAAAATTTGTATACTGTTAAATTGTAGTAAAAAGAAACTCTTCCATTGAATAAATCAAGTTGTTTCGTTTTCCTGGCAGACTTAGAGCACCATTTTATAGAGCGAAGCAAGCCCTACGAAATGACCATCAAAGATCCGCTTAAATTGAAAAAAATTGAAGTCCAGCCAAAATGTGGAGCTAAATCGAAAAAATTCTTTGTCACTAGTGTCCGTATTCATCAACGGCTTAACTCAAGCGAAGCTAGTGGGTAAGCAAACCAAGTGGGCGTTCATACATATCGTTCTTACCCAATGAATTCGCGAAGCCACGGATTACGAACCTATGAGTAATGGAACCCACTGGGTTTTTTGATGGTACGGTCACTGGAAATTGATTTCTGCTAAAAGAGGGAACGTCCAGCGTGGTTTATCTACAGTAGACACAGAGTAGTACTCAAAAAGGTTTTCACTGGGTTTTCCACGCGTAGACAGCGGAAAAAATATTCCAAAAATGGCAAACTCCGCCCCTGCTCCTCCTACATATGTGTTCGCATTGACGCAACCCTTAGTGTTACCTTGAAATTTAAAATTACTGTGTGTGCCTTGGTAAAAAGAAATATTAATTTCAACATAATAAACCCGAAAAAGCGACATTCTTTCCTTTTCGGGCACCTCTCAATTTAAGCCTCGGAAGAAATCACCAAATGCTTTTGGGTACTACTATGTGTTTACTGTTGGAGGAACGCAGGAATTTTTCGGAAGGAGATCCGATTTTTAGTAATCAAAAAATTGGTTTTAGGCTCCAAATTTTACCCAAATTACTTTTACCTAGGGTACTTACCTTTGGTAGTCACTCTGTAGAGCTTGCTTCGCTCTTTCAAAAGGCACCAAAAGTTTGCCAGGAAAACAAGTATAGCTTATTTATCTAGAAAAAATTTACTTTTGGGACAACCTAATAATTTGAATACTATACATATAACAGTTGATTTTTCTGCGAACATTTTGGAATGAACTTTTTGGTATTTTGAATTTCGCATCAGAAGACAATGTATGATCTAAATCTAGCATGAATCAAGATTGCGCCAAACACCATCAAAAAGAGCAGATTAATAGTTGTCTTTTACCCTGTGCTGCTTTTACGACTGTTCGATGTGTGGAAACCACTCACTCCTGTGTAACGCATCTCTTATGAGAACAACTTCTGTTACATTTTCTGCTATTTTGGAAAATCCGGAAGATTCACCAGCCTGACTGACGCCGCAAATGCACAAACGATCGACGGTTTTACTACAGTTACGTAAACAAACCCAAAATTTCAATTTTTTATCTGTTTCTTTTCTCTGCGTATTTGCGTCACCTTCTACAATTTTACGTTCGTTCGTCGTTTTCAAAAAACCATATCTATGAGTTCTTTGGAATTCCTTCAAACTATATTTGTTCTGAACCAGAAAGCATCCACCTTTAGAAATTCCTCGCAGTAGGTTAGCATGAGAATTTGAGAGTCGAAAGCAAATTAAAGAAAATTCAAGGTTGACATTTTTCAAGCAGGGACACAAAAAATTCTGAAGCTATTTTGGTTTGATAGAGAAAATTATGCGCATAAGTACAATACCTCCATATGAATCAAAAGGAGGAAGATCAAGAGTTAGAATCAAATAAAAAGACTCCAATTCTGCGATTGAGCATGGTCAAAAAGTCTAAAAACTCACATGGAAAATCGAATTTGCCATGAACGTAGCAGCTATAACCTCTTCTTTCTAGCTTAGCAATATTCGTACGCTATAAGAAGAATACTTTCTGGTTCAGAACAGGAGTATGTGAAGAAATTCCATTGAGATGCAAAGAAGTTACGGTTTTTTGAAAAAGAAAAGTGGAGAAGGAACTTCGGTTAACCTTATATTTGAGCACTGTCCTCTTACAGTGGCACTCTGGTGCCTCCAGCGCTTTATAAACAATGGGTGAAGAAGCTCTAAAATATTCAGAAACTTTCAAAAGTTTTTTTTATATGTCCTGCAGAAATCAACACAAAAAGCCTTAAAGTATTGTTTGAATTCTTTTAAAGACATCATGGTTAGAACTCAATTGCAAAGATGGCGCACATCAACATCAACGGCTCAGAAAGGTTTGTACAGTCGAGTAGATTTCCTGCTTGATATAGTGTCCCTGCAGATGCGACAACGCCTATGCGTCATTAAATGCCACTACAGTTTCAGCAGGAGCTCTTCAACGTTTTCTTTGCTTATTTTTTGTTTTTTAGGTCAGTCCTTGCTGAAAAAGGAGAGAAAGGTAAGCTAATAAGAAGTTTCTGTTTTCGAGTATGTAAATCATCGCTTATTCCGAGTATTTACGTGAAAACTACGTCGTCGTCAGTTCCACGCGTATTTTCTGTCACTTCATGCCTCTTCGCATCATTTCCTTCGTATTTTTTGTCACGCAATGCCTCTTTTTTCTTGTGAAGCATTTCTTGAACGCTAATAGGCTTTTGTGTGACTTACTGTTATTATCCCAAACTACTCCATTGGTTGACTCCTTTTAGAGATCTGTAGTTGCTGCGGAGCCTACTAACTCAAAGAAATGCTATACGAGAAAAAAGAGGCATCATGCGACAAAAATGCACATGAAACAGACGCGATGTGGCTTCCACGTAGACACATGAGAATTAGCGACGATATAAAAATTTAGAAAACATAAATTACTCTTAAACGTACCTGCCTGTCCTTTATCAGCAACGAGTCACCTAAAAAGCAAAGAATAAGCCAAGAAAACACTAGAAAACGACGCTCACTACTTCGCAATGGCAATTGTTGACGCACTAGCGTTGTCGCGTCTGCGAGGAGACTATATTAAGCAGGAAATCTACTCGACTATAGACATGGCGGCATCCCTCCCCCCCATATCTGCCAAAAACTATAGACTATACCCTGCTTGGTTCTCGCATCCTCCTGTCTCTCGCTCATCACGAAGACCAATTCTTAGACAAAATTGCTACAAAAAAACTTCCACCTATATAGTGGGTTTTGTGCGCACGGACCGCGGATGTGACAGAAATGATGGAAGACCTTTGCATTTCGCCCACATGCCGTAAACATAAGCTTCTTCGGAAGTTATTAGACTGGTTGAGGAATAAAAATAGAGTGTAAAAGAATTTATGTGTCAACCTAACGCTTCAAAGTAAACTGTAAACGGAAGAAAAACCTGTGTTCTAGGATGTAATAAGTAACTGGGATGGCACTTCAATTTTGCAAAAATAAGTTCAAAATATCCAAATGAGATTTAATCCAGATTCAAATCCGGTACTAGTACTACACTCGCTAACTATACTAACGCGGCGAAACAAGATTGGTATAACCAAGTTATAATACATGGTCTTGACAAAAACCAAACGTACACGGATGGTTTGGATTTTTTCGCTAATGTGAGTTAGGTTTCGCAGTTCATATCTGAAGAAATGGCGTAATTTCTATGCCGTGATTTTGGAAGATTTTGTTTCTAGTTTAGATGGTCAATGCGAAGGCTACGCAAGTTGCGTGCGCTTACGATGATGATGGAACCAATGTACATTACTCATGCATCTTCAACGTGTAAGTTTTTCTATATATGAATCAATTTCTAATTAGTGTTTTCTAAGTATATATATCATTAATTCTCCCACCCTAATTGTGAGATCAACCTATCTTGCGCATTTTACGAAAGAGACAAGCAGCAATATCGTCGTGTTTTTTAAGTACTGGCTTGTTTAGTACCTCAATTGACCAATCCCAGTAAACTACATTGATATACAGGGATTGAAGGCTCTATGTCAAAAGCATCGCCGTAAATTCAAACATTCTGCAGAAAAAAGAAAAGCATATGTAGTAGCTAGCAGCCTGATTCGCACTTCGTATAGTTGTGAGAGTCATTAAACGAAATATGAGTCCAGGAAATAGCGCATCACTTTTGCATTGACATGATTAGAACACAACGAAATATGTAAATATAGATTTGACTGGCACTTCCTTATTAACACCTCCTGAGAATTACTGCTTCTCATTGCTTATCCTTTCTTCGGTAATTTGTACAGAAGACAACTTTGAGCGCTTAGCTTGCCATTACATACGTTGTTCTCCTACTTACGGAGTAGAAACTGCCAAATAGGCTGCGGTGATTGTCTCGTTTAGTAAACCAGTCAAGGGACAGAGTATCTATGAAAGAGGAACTCCATGTTCAAAGAATTCGCAGTGCACCACGTACCCAGGATCATCTTGTGATACGGTAACGAAGCTGTGCAAATACGAAGGAGACATACCAGGTGGGTGATCGAGCAATCCTCAAGAAAATGCTTTATTTAGATGTTTTTTTGAGTGCAGCATGTTTCTTTCTGAGCTCGAAGCTTTGCCAGAAATTGTTTTGGCCCTTTGGAGGAAGCCTGGAAGTTAAAATAATCAGCTTATCTTGTGTTTACCGCTTCTTGACCTTTTGGGTACAAGTATACTCAAAACACCAGTGAGTAGGAGGAGAAGGTAGAGAGTTGCACCATGTGCCACTTCAAAATACTTTGATGGTCATTGAAACAATTCAAGCAGGAAAGCTTTGAGTCCAGTCGACTAGTATACTTTTAGTGCTTCTGACTAGCGAGATAATAAAACGACTTGCCGGAACGATCCCAACTGACCTTATGTAGTCATTATGTGTTCAATTTATGAAACACGAAGGAATTTAGGGAAAAGCTTTCATTATGGTGTCCACATTCATAGGCGTAGAAAATCGAGCTTTGGCATAGGGCATCCAGTCGTGACGATGACGTGACCACGCGCAACACGCGCGCACTTCTAGCAACCGCATTTTTCTGGTTTTCCTCTCTACTCAAATGCTTTTTTCGCTTATATGTAATAGTATTTAGATACTGAAAGTGATTGAGCTGAGCGTTGGGGTGATGCCTCTTTGTATGAGTGTTTCATGCTCCTGTGTTCGCGAGGACCGCAGAACCCGTCGTCACGATCTAAGAAGAACCTATGTTTTCTCATCAATCAGAAGTTCATTGTCAAAAACGCTATCCAGGTTGAAATGCTGTATCTTCGGGAAGAAAAGGCAAGCAAACGTTGAGTGTGGTCGAGTTAGGTTTTTCTGGTTTTTTGAATTAGCTGGACAAAAAAGCATGTCGCTTTCATAAATAGAGTGAAGAAATCTGGCAAATTTATCTGACCATACTCTCCCTATGAATTGAGTTTTGTGAGACATCAAAGCAAGTATTACTCGGAGTCAGAAAACTGTTTGACCATTACACGATTAACAATTCGAAACATCCATTAGCTTAAACATGAAGTACCCTAAAATCTCATAGATAAGAGCGGTTTAATTTACCGGTGAAAAATGAATTGGAATAAAATTGAAATTGAATGCAGTCAACCCTCTAACTTGATGGATGGATAAATAAAAATCGGAGAAGAAGTTTAAAAGAAGCTCTGCCCCTCAACTTTAAATCCCGCCCACTTAATAAACATTTTATATAGAGTAGTTTTATATAAGTTACAAAATTTTAAGCTCAAAAATCCCAGTTTTTGCTTTTTAGGACCGCATCTAAATTTGCGAGAGGCTGATCTAAATTTTCTCGAGCTCACTGTTCCTCAAGGGCTGAAACATTTTCTATGAATAGTCTGGGCAGTATGCTACAGAACCTGTTCTTTGCAGCCTCTCAATCTTTTTCTGGCCTTAGTTATGAATTTTCAAACTACCGTGCTCGTGCATGTTTTTGACGTCGTTCTGGACGGCTCTAAAGCGGTTTTTTTCGCAGGAAAAACTGTGGAACAGGTAAGAACTGAGCTTCTTAGTCGAGAACATCTTTTGTAGTTCAAGAATGTCATTTTGTTCTCCGTGTAAAAGTTTGTGTCGCATACGGGAATCGAATTTGCTGGCCTGAAGTATGCCTGAAAATTCAAAAGTAAACTTGCAGAATCTCAAACATTATTGGAGGTGTGTATGGTGCTAGAGATGCTGGGCGCACCCATTGGCCTAGAAATTCTGCTTCCGAAACCTCACTGAAGTTCTTACGCAGGTGTTTTTTGAGATTGACATTCGTTTATGCAGGTTACCGCGAGAAATGTGGGCAGGGGAGGTAAGGGGGATAGATGGGGGAGGGGAAGGAGGGGGGGAGGGGGAGGGGGGGGGGTCGTACGGATGGGTACCTTCAAGGGGGGGGGGGGTCATAAATGAGGGTCCAGGATTGCATCAGCACGCTTGACCCTGTACCCATCCGTACGACCCCCCCCCTCCCCCCCTCCCCCCTCCTTCCCCTCCCCCATCTATCCACCTTACCTCCCCTGCCCACATTTCTCGCGGTAACCTGCATAAACGAATGTCAATCTCAAAAAACACCTGCGTAAGAACTTCAGTGAGGTTTCGGAAGCAGAATTTCTAGGCCAATGGGTGCGCCCAGCATTTCTAGCACCATACACATCTTCAATAATGTTTGAGATTCTGCAAGTTTACTTTTGAATTTTCAGGCATACTTCAGGCCAGCAAATTCGATTCCCGTATGCGACACAAACTTTTACACGGAGAACAAAATGACATTCTTGAACTACAAAAGATGTTTTCGACTAAGAAGCTCAGTTCTTACCTGTTCCACAGTTTTTCCTGCGAAAAAAACCGCTTTAGAGCCGTCCAGAACGACGTCAAAAACATGCATGAGCACGATAGTTTGAAAATTCATAACTAAGGCCAGGAAAAGATTGAGAGGCTGCAAAGAACAGGTTCTGTAGCATACTGCCCAGACTATTCATAGAAAATGTTTCAGCCCTTGAGGAACAGTGAGCTCGAGAAAATTTAGATCAGCCTCTCGCAAATTTAGATGCGGTCCTAAAAAGCAAAAACTGGGATTTTTGAGCTTAAAGTTTTGTAACTTACCAGAGAAGTTATAAGACAGCCTGAAATTCTTATGATAAAAACTAGAGGGATGGCCTCATATTACAGCAAGTTTGCAGCTAACAAGCTTCAATAGCTCCGGAGAAATTTAGATCAGGCGCAGATACGACTCCCCTTTTCTCATTTTTTGCTACCACACATAAAATCATAAGAAAATCCGCAGTTTATAAGATAACACTAGATTTCGCACAGCAGTAGCAGGGCTTATCTAAAGTACATATAAATTGTAAGGCCGCATAAATGGCATTGCAAAAAGATTTACGAATCACTGATTGTCATCGTTGATCTACATGTGCGCTTTTGTCGAATGTGCGAATCTTCAGTGAGCCTTCGGAAGCAGGATGTCTACACCAATCGGTACATTCAACATCTTTATCACACATACATGCCTTTAGTAGCATTTGAGCTTCTAAAAGTGGTTATTTTTGGATTTTAGTCATGCCAGCAGGGTTCGATCCCCGTTTGAGACAATATTTTGCGGGAGAAATAGCGATTCCCATAAAAAAAACTAAGTCATAATCTTTCAAAAGTGCAGCAAATGAAGCGAATTTCTGCGCTTGCAAATGTTTTCAAATTATTGTTAACTCGTTTTTATTTGATACATTGGTACACGGCATTCCATGAATTTATTGTTAAGAACATGTAATAATTACTTGTTATTTGATTTGCTTTCAATCGTATGGTTTTTTATCCAAACTACCCCCCCCCCCTCTTACGACCCCCCCCCCCTCCCTCACCGTAGGCCCCCTTTACGACCCCCGCTGCGACAGTCGCATCACACGCTTGACCCTGGATGGGTACCTTCAAGGGGGGGGGGGTCATAAATGAGGGTCCAGGATCGCATCAACACGCTTGACCATACCCTCGATACATAGAGCCACGTACTCTGGTAACCTTCACTTTGAGGGCTATGAGGGGACACAACCCTGACTATATCGGAACGAGTGTTAATGAAGCAACTATAGGGAATAATATCTTTAGCTTATCTGAGCGAAACCGAGAATTGCGTTTTCATAGCCTTTTTTGCGTTAAAAAGAAGGTTTCTGTGGAATTTTCGCCACAATTCAGGACAAAATTTCTCAGTTAACCTCTCATTTGAACAAAATCGAGTTTCAGAAGCTTAGAAAAGCTATTGGATTTAAATAAGAACGAGAAACTGCGCTTGAATCTCGCGCAGAGAGTCGCGCACGAAAACGCTGGTCTGTCTTGTTAATGAGTGATTTTCGAAGCTTGGGACGTTGTCAGTTCTCCTCGTCGTGTCATGACGATCAGAATGATATATAATGTTGCTCGGTTTCGTTGAGACCCCGCGGAGATCTACGACCAGAGCCAAATGCCCCGCCGGCTCTGGTCTGTCTCCGCTGCTCGTCTGCGTCTCCGCGCGCTGCGCGCTACCTCGCTACCCCAAATGCGGGGCGCGGGGCATTTGGCTCTGGTACCCTTCTTTTCGCTGTTTCGAACCCAATTTTAGTAAGCTATATATCAAATTGAAGCTCTTGATCTCTATTTTCACGCCGACAACGTCCCAGAACCACATTTTTTGATTTGATCGAGAAATCCGGCAAACACCTTGTTTTCGAAAATCTCTTGTTTTTCTCCTAGTTTAACTATTTTCACGCGGTTTTTTCGTGCATTCTATAGATCTTGCTTCTGTTCATAATGCAGACAACCATCCAGCCTTTATCTCTTCGATTATTGTGGAGTTTTCTGCGAAAAATCGTAAAAAGAGCGTTTTTCTTTACCTTGTTCTGTTTCAGTGCTTTCGCATCGGTTTTTTTCCAGCTTGGGCGACTGTTGCTCAGAACATTAAGCGCAATAATCTAGACAACGTCCCAGGAAATAGGAACGTCAATGTGGGGTAAAAATTCAAAGGACGCATCAAAAATCAAAACCTCGTTTGCGAGTTGCTGGTCCTGGAGCGAAAACTTGCACTTTGAAAAGCCGCCAAATGAAAGATTTCAAACCTCATTGCAGCGTTTTTATCCAGTTTTCAGCAGTTTCTTTTGCTTTTTAGATCTGTTTTACGTCATTTTCTCCTCTCTAATATTCTTTAAACAACCTTCACTATTTACGACGTCAGATGTTCAAACAACCTTCACTTTTGGCGCCCTGTCTCTAGACTATCGAAGGTATGCGCTTGACCCTGCTCCCAACGGTCTCCCAGTCTCCCGATATAAGTGGCGCTGCACTCCATGCATTCGATCTGATAGATCACACCCGCCTTGCCGCAGTCACCAACTTTACCGGATGGACAAACTACGCAGTCTTGGAATCTGCAGTAGTTGTCGTACAACCTGTTTCGTACTAACCGCTTCCTGATGTTGTCACTTGGAATATTGATTAAAATGACATCGTTTTCGAGGTTCGCATGTTTAATGCATCGTCGCACTATAGCACTAGTCGCGTCAGAGACGAAAGGAAGACAGAGAGGTATTTTCTGTTGGTGCTGGTTGCTGTTGATGGAATTAGATGGTCCACTACGTCCTTTTTGGAACGTGTAGCCATTCATTCGAGCAATATCCAACGCCAATCTCTGCGACTCCTTCCGTTCTTCTTCTCCTGTGCATATTTTCGTTGCTGTTTGAGCATGTTACGAATAACAGTTCTTTTAACAGTAATCGGATATGCGGAACGAGCCTCTCTTTGCGATACCATTTTACATTCGCAGCGCCGTTGAACAGTTGGATTTGTACGTCGAGGTAAGGAAGCCAACCATTTTTCGGTTGCTGCCGTGTAAACTTTATGTACTGTGACTGTTGGTTGAGTAATCGGAAACACTCATCCATTTCGGGTTTAGCGGATTTATCTGCAAGCCGACTTATTTGATGGCGGACATATCTGCGGGATTTTAGGGTACATGTAATTTCAAACGCAGAAATTGCCTCAAAAAATATTAAAACCATTTTTTGTTACCCTGAACTTTAGGAAAGGCTTTGAAACAGCAACTTCAGAACCCTCTCATGAGTGAAATTAGCAAAGCATTGATTATGTCAGCATTCAAAATAAATATGATATGCATGATTTACCGTATTTAATAGTCTTATCAAATGGATTGAAGAGAGAGAAATGTTCTGTTTTACATCCTTTGATTTTATTACAACCACACTTAAAAACCAAGAAAAATCTTCTTGAAAGTCTCTGTAATTACTGATCGCTAAAACAGGCACCAGACTTATCCGCTAGCCGCCTCACTTCTGGTCAGTTCACTGACAGGACCAATAACAAAGCGACTAAGCGGCTAACGGAATAAGTCTAGTTCCTGCTAAGGGTGAAGCGTTTTACTGAATAATCTTTTGTAATTGCAGAAAATATAAGTTATTTAAATTCGATGATTGTCATTGACTGATGGTTAAAGCAGTACCTCCTTTTATCTCCTTCTCTATTTGTCGGAGTCTCCGTTTGTAAGTTTCCCCGGGTGGTAATATGGAACAAAGTGCACCTCATCAGATTCGTCTCAGGTAATTCTAAGCCTGCAGTCGAGTAGAATTACCGCTCAATATAGCGCGCTTGCACTGCAGGAAAATGCGGTGAACTTTGCGTGTGAAAAAATAGCTACGTTTGTGACTGCGCATTACTAGCGTGGCTATTTGTTCGGGCGCAAATCTTACCTCATTTTATCTGCAATGCAAGCACACTATAAAAATCGACTTAACTATGCCTTACCTATTCACCGCTTTTTCCTCGAAGTTATGAGCGATTGAAATTACAAAATTGTAAGAGTTCTAATGCATGATATGCTATGAAATTCTGCTTGGGAGTGTTCAAGTAACCTGGTGTTGAATGTAGTGACTTGAAAGATTATACACAAACTCGAAAACATAGATAAGCGTTTTTGAACAACAATTCCTGGAAGTTGTGGCATTGTGGATATGCCAAATTTGGACCTTCAAACGCTCAAATCTTCTCTCAGAAATGTTTAGTAGATATGGAAGGTAGATTTGGAGTCAGCTCAACGAGGCGAATATAATGACGTGCATCTTGTTCCAAATCGCAACGACCTTAGGATCCTCTAGTTAGAACTTCACTCTGCTGTTCCAGCCCTACCTAGGCATGACAAGCCGGCTTTAAAAAGATAAAAAATTGTTCCTTTTCGCCCCTGCATTATACGAGCCGCATAGTGATACTGCATTGATATTCCATTGATTGGGAACTGAGCAAATGGAGCCTCCTATCCTAAAGGTCCAGTGTTGTAAATTTTACGCGGTCTAAGCATCCACAAATGTTTTTGAGCGAGAAGCTGTACAGGCCGCATCTTCCAGCTTTTTGTATGTCGCGCTAGTCATTCCTGGCTGCCTAGAGTCTTTTCCTTTCGGTAATTTTCTTCCTTCATTGTCAATGAAAGCGTTTCAAAGTCGTGCTTTTATCTGCCAATAGTGCCAAGCATTTTACAGGTAAGAATAAATAAGTTATTAAAATATCGAGATTCTCGATAAGCTCTAATTTGGTTATTGGTTCACAGCATATTTCATGAATTCGACGCATCATTTATTTCCTTCTCAAAAACATGCTTAGCACTTTTAGGTTAGATAATCAATACAATTTTGGAACTTCAAGAAAAGACAGGGCAGCTGGGGATTATCTGGATATGGCATCTAGACTGCTTTTCCCTCGTGTTTAGTATGGTTATAGTAAAGACCAGTAGAAACGCTTGCGGATAGTTAGATGTGAAATCCAGGACAGTGGAGCTCTGGAATGTAAAGCCTTCTTCTGAGCCGCGTTTCCCAATCCAGCGATGTTGATCCAGCGGCCCTGAGAAGACAATGATTCGTCCCATGTGGCTTTGCTATGCTATTCCGATTTGCGTACAAACCTTTCTGCTCAATAGGAAAGGAACCTCAAATGGTAGCTGCGATTAGAGCTCAAGATAGCACATCGTATCAAATCAAAACGCACATAGCTAAATCTTCAATCAGCTGTGATTGGTCTTGCAGGCGGCTAGTATTCAATTATATACAAAGATATTCGTTACTATCAACTGTGCGTCATCACGAAGCATTTAGTGGGAGAGCTTTTTGATTATAGTACGTCGGTGCTATAATCAAAAATCTGTTAAAACTACTGGCTTTATAGCCTTCATCTTACGACACAGCTGATTTGTAATGTATCACTTACTGCAATAATATTTGGGGTTTTGATAAATTTGACGATTAGTTTTCTTACTTGTTTTGTGAGCGCGATGATATATTTATCCTGCTGATTTTTTCTACATATGCAAAAGAACCAAACCAAGGTTAGCAAGACAGGCAAAACCGATGGCGCGAAAAGAACACAATTTTGATTTTGCCGCAAACACAAATTTCATTGAGATAAAGTCAAATTTCCTAAAATGTTGGCGAACTCTTACGTTTCAATACTTTATGGGCTCGTTTTATAGCGTCTCAAACATTTTCCTCTTAGCTTGCAAAATCCACGGTAAAGGGTCTCAAGAGCATGTTTACGTTGCACTTATCAGGGTGCGTTTTATTCACATAAAGCTAGGCTACTTCATTCGCGAAGCCTCTCGCGCTAAATTCCACGTTTCAAACAGTTGAAATTGTCGAGAATACTAGAAAAATGGTTTGCGGAGAGATTAAAGAGAGACTAAATTTTTGACCAATTGCTTGATTTTCCTTTCCTCCTTTAATGCACGAACAACGCCTTCCACTCCACAATAAAATCCCTTGCCTTTTTAGAGCCGGAAGTGACTTCAACCGATGCGACAACAGCCACGAACGTGAATCCAACCGGTGGGACAACAGCGACGGGCGTGACTCCAACCGCTGCGACAACCACTGCTGATATAAAACTAGACAATGCATACATGACGGTTGCAGGAAGGACCAAAGTGGTAAACGCACATAATTATAGGAGGTGAGCGTCTTCCCATGTCCTTCAATACTGCTTCTTGTGTCCAACGGTTACGTTATGTTGCTATGATTGTAATGATGTACTTCCCTTTTCAGAACTTTGCTCGCAACAGGTCAGATAAGAAATGGTAAAAATCCAAGCAATGCTAATTTACCAACGGCTGCATTCATGTCAAAAATGGTAAGCGTAAACTTCATTTCTTGCAAAGCTACAAAAAACATTTCAAAATTGTGTCATTGTAGTTGATTTTGATGTCAACGTAAGAGTTTTGCGAGAAAGATTTCAGGAATATGACATGAACCTTGAAGCGCAGGCCATAGAACACGCCAAAGGGTGCTCATTGGAAAAGTCAGACGAGTCAACAAGAACAGGAATTGGTGAAAACGTTTATGTGCATAAGACAGTGATTAAGGATCCAGTTGAACTTTTTAATATTGTAAGTTCAATATCCATGTTTCAGCAAAAAGCATTAACGCAAGAATCGTTAGCAGAAGCGAAGCTGCATTCTAGGATAATATTAGGCTTTGAACATCGTTAGTTCTGTATGCGCAAACCTCACCCTATTTTTTCCACACTTTTTCGGGCGTACAAGTTGCACCCAGTTTGCTCTAAACGCAAGTAAACACATTGAGCGTGCGCCTTGCGAGCCTCGCTTTCTCCTACATTGTGCTCAATCAGTGCGCCCCACGGTCTGTTCCTTTGGACCGTTTGCGTCCAAAGAAACTAAAAGTGGCTTGTACATTAGGTTTTATTGGCAGCGTTCTTCAAGCGAAAGTCTCAACTCGTGTTCTTCACTCGTTTTCCACGCCTATCTAAAGATTGAAGCTCACTTCCAAGGCTTACCTTGGAAAAATTATTGAATGACACTGTTGCAAATGCTGTGCGAAGACCCTTGCCATCGTGAGACGAGTAAAGTTGCCGTTGACCGACTCAGAATTACTTTGAGACACCACAATCTATAGTGAGCAACTATAGATTATGGTGTGGTAGCAACTATGAGTTCCTTCCTGGAAGATGTATTAGGTCGATTCAAAAGTTGGTCGCTTTGATTTTGAAAAATTCGTAACTGCTCCCTATGCAAACGAATTGAATTACGAAAAGTACCTCCAAATAGGAAAACTCATCTAATTTTTAACCACATCTTTGACTCTTTGACGACAAAAGAATCCAGTGATAGTTGCCCATGTTCGATCGTTTTTGAAACTTGGCATTGTTGATAGTTGTAGATGGCTTGTGAGCGGTGCTCCAAGATTGTTAGAGTATCTTTATATACGTTTAGTTTATATAGTTTAGTTTATATAGTTTCTTTATATTTTTATTATATATATTTATTATATTTTCTTTTTTATACGTGCCTTGATGACTCGGCCTCATATTCAAATTCGCATAGGGATTGATAACGCGCGAGCTCCCTCTTTATGGCGGTACACTCCTCCTTCCGGTTCATTTTTGGATTTTTGGCGTTAATCCAAAACGCTCCTAAGGTTTTCGCGTTAAGATCTCGGGTTCTAACGACAAGATCTTTACAGTAACTTGTATAAGAGCCATGCCATGGCGTGTAACACGATGTTCCCCAAATGGCGTAGCTGCCTTTAGCTTATTCAACTGTCTATATGCTCCTTAACGCGACAGCAAAGCGGGCGTGCACTTTTTTTCCGGACTCCAGTGATAAAAACTCGATTAGGAGAACCACTCTTGAATTCGTGGTTTTCGGAAATAAACTGTCAAAACTGTCAAAATGCAATGTTAATGCAAGAAACGCCATCATTCTTGTCTTTTGCATTTTTCACGAAAACAATAACTTTTCCTAAAAAAGCTTGATCAGCACAAGTTGGCACCATTAAAAAGAGCAGCTCGCAAAACCTCTAAGAAACCTGCTCACAAATTTCTCTGCGGTGTTTAACACTTTTAACGGTTTATTTTCGAGAATCGCGAGTTTGGGCGGTTTTCCTTTTCAAATTTTTTATCTTTGGAGTCTTTTGTCGTCAAAGAGCATCAAAAATGTGACTGAAAATTAGATAAATTTTTTTATTTGGATGTATTTTTTGTAAGTCAATACTTTCACATAGGGAGCACTTACGATTCTCCAAAGTCAAAGCGAAAGAACTTGTGAGTCAACCTAAAACTCATGTCTCTCGCCGTATTTCTATAATATAAAAAGATTTTTGTTCCAGAGTAAATGTGCTATATAACAGACAAACTGAAACTCAATACATTTCATTACATAAGTTGAATATGATACGCCCTTGCACATATTTTAGCTATAAGCTAGTTCTAACTATAAGCTTATGCTCTGTACCTGGTTGATTGCTACTGTTTGGGAAGGAAGGAACTTCGTGCTCTATTATATTAAGTTGAGCGTCAAAGGAGCACTAAGGAGTCTTATAACTCTAAACGGCAAATTACCTAGTTTGATCTAGAAAGTCGTTTGTGTTCATATTTACTGCGAGTCATGCTTTCTTCATAGGTTGCCATTAGTTGGTGGACGCAAATCTTCCAAGATGGAATCAACAATCAATTGATATTCTCAGAGAACCTGAGAGATAAACAAGCAAAGAAAGGCATAGATCAGACAGCCTTCACTCAGGTTGGCACAGCACCGCCTCAGTGGAATAAGAAACAATTTACATATGTTCAGATAGCCTGGGCAAATACCAGCAAAATAGGGTGCGCTAGTGTCGATTGCTCCGGAAAGTCCTTCGTTGTTTGCCGCTATAGCCCTGCGTAAGTTTGTGCAGCGTCTTCCTTCTCTTACGCGAATTGCGCATCAAATTTGATATCATACCTTTTCTCAGTGGAAACATTCTGAATCAACCAATATATCGAATTGGATATGTATGTCAAGGGTGTCAGGGAACTTGCAGTTCGGCTGATGGACTATGCATAATGACCTGAAGAAGACAGTATTGAAAACGACACTTCAATAAACTCTGCAGCATTCCGTCTTTTTCATAGTGTGTAAAAGTTTTAGAGTGCGACGTAAACACAAGCAAGTATCGATACTATATTGTAAAGCTCGGAATGGCTTTATCAAAGCGGGGTATAGGAGAGATTTTCAAAAAGAGTGTGAACACAGAGTGCTTTATTAATTCGAAAAAGTTTTAACTTTATTCATTGGCCTAAGTAATAGCGTGGCATTTGACTAGGTTATTGCTCCATTCCCGATGCGAAAGTCATAACTTGAAGCTCCAGAAGATGGATGCAGCTAGGGTTGCCACGCTCATCAACGCGGGTGGACTTACGATAATGAGCCTGAAAGTAGAAAGTAGCAGCGGCGGTCCCAGGACTTCCGGGCGGGGGAGGCGGCAAAAAAATTTGTTCCGTGAATGTGCGTGGCGTCAGCCACGCGCTCCAAAAAATTTTTGGGGTGCTTTTCAAAATTTATGCAGGTCCCTAACTGGAAAAAGGGGGTTTGGCTGACGCCATGCCCCCGAAAAAATTTCCTTACAAAGCTAATTTGAATTTTTTAACTTTTTTCAAAAATTATTTTGATTGTTTACAAAAATAAACAAGTCAGTTGCAAATTTTTATAACACGCGTAAGTAATGTTTCCCTTAATGCAGTACAGGAGGAAAGCTTCATCTACGCAGATTATCGATAAACGTCTCACACATAGGGCCCGGCACAAGGGTGGCGCGGACACGAAACGAATTCACCTTTGCCAATTTCGGTACCACTTCCCACTTAATCGAGCCAGCTGCATAAGTTGTTTGACTAGAGCGCGCTTTTTTTTCAGAAGCACCGCCGTCGTTTCTAATTTACTTGAGGAATTTCGAAATTTTTCACCGAATGAAGGAATCTCGAATAAATTCAAAAATAACAATTTTCGAATAAACGAATATTGAATGAATTCGAGATCAAAATTTTCGAATGAATGCCAAATAAATTCGAAAACCAAAATTATCGATTGAATGAATATCGATTATATTCAAACATTAGGAGTCGAATTTCGAATGAATATTTGAATAATTCATCGAATATCTGAATCGTTTATATCTGAAACTTGCTGACATACGCGGCTAAAGCCAATTTACTCAAACTCAGCACCCTCTCACCCTATACCAACTCCCAGCCCCCTAGTATCATGCTAATAGTTGGTAAGCCCAGTGTTGAAATGCCTGCAAGCTGTAAGACTTTTGAGTGCACTGTGATAACAAAACTATTATGTAATTATCGTTTATTCGTTGACCGTAACGACTGCTGACCGCGCGGCGACCGCTGCGCGTGCATGATGTTTTCGTAGAAAAGATGAATAGAAAGAAAACAGAGGATTCTTTTCATCTTTATAATGTAGAAAAGAAACAGAGAATTCTTCTCATCTTAAGCCACGGTCCAACTTGTCACTTTTTCGCAAGTTTAGAAGGCACGCGTCGCAGTCGCCACGCGGTCGGCAGTCCGTACGGTCAACGAATGAACGATATGTAATATCTACTGAACGAAACTTGGAACGGAATGCGTACAAGGCAAAAAGAGAGGTGACAGTATAAACATCAAAGCGTAAGCGTTTGTTTGCGCCTTTGAGGTCTATCCACTCATTTTTTAGCACAACATCTCGTTGCATATTATATTACAAAATAAAAAACCTGAGCTGGAAGCTTCGTTCAGGTATTGTAAAAAGCAATAAAGAACAGCAAAAACAGATATGTTTCGGGTTAACGAGTACGCTGATTGTTGTCTTCTTATAGGCTGTTGCATGACGAAGGCGCAATATCTTTAGGCGCGAAGGCGGCTTTATAAGCCGCGAAGAGCATGAGGCGCAAGATTCACGACGGCGAATATGCTCGCTCTGCGTTGGCACCCGCCCAATTAACTGTTTCTGCTCCTTCGTCATGCACTAACCTTTAGATCTCGTAATTAATTTGGTCAGAAAGGAAAGGAAAAGTAAGACGATGAACGTCAAAAACTTTGCCATTTGAGATTGATTACAGGTACCATATACGTTTTGCACTGTAGAACCGGTCTGATGCAATAGTAGTATTTGCCAAGTGCTCAACCTCACCAAGGGGACAAAGAATAACCCTCTCTAAAGGGCCGGTCATACCGGTCAGCGATCCATCCCCGCAATGGATGATCGTCGCGACTGGGTGGAAACTAGCGAAGAAACGCGCGACGGATCTCTGATCGCTTGAATAAGGGGGCATACCACCGCGGCGATGTGTGCATTCTCACACTACGTCACATAAATCACTTTCGCACAAGCTCAAATTTTGTACCAGCATAAACTTCTCATATAAAAGTCATGAATATCTGACAATCACTAAATCCAGTGCAGATTAGCCGCGGAATATGTACAACTAGCTCCTGAGAGTTCACAAACAAAAGTCATGCCCGTGATGAGGATACTGAGGTAATAAAGAACACAAAGAAACGTTATAATGGTTAATAGTAGAGCCGTACCCACGAAACACACATCAGTTGGAAACCAGATAGCTGGCAAATTTGGGAAGTGTGCAAGGCATTTAGCGTGAGTGACAACTGCTGATAAATCAAAAGGCTTCCATTTCACGGAAAACCAATGCACTTTGACAAAACTAAAATGGTTTCCAATTCCCAGACACGAGACCAGCTTAAGAAAGTAAAGAACAATCATAAAACTTTCCTGGAAAGAAATCCCAATCCTAGCAATCCATCGCGTTGCGCATTTGAAATGAGCGACGCGAATTCGCTAGGATGAGCGACGATCGCGGCGATTTCGCTCAAATCGGTATGGACGGGTAGAAAACGGCCCGCGATGCATCGCGCCGGACAGCCAGCACAGATACGCAGTTATCTCCGGCCTTGTAACACTTGTCTTTTGGGAAAGTCAGCGACGCGATGGATCGCTGACCGGTATGACCGGCCCTTAAAGTATTCGCTGCCACTTGCTCGCAAGCTTAGTGAGGCCGCTTTTATCCTTCGGCGCACTTTTAATGCTTTTTTCGAGGAACGGTCTGGCAGAAGGTCTCGCCGTCAGCTCGACGTCAACTCAACGCAAAATTATTGTGATCTAAGGTCCCACATCTCTTGCCCAAAATCAACTAGTGTTAAACTATAACAACTTGTGTCTCTATGTGCAACAACAGAATCGACCCTATTTGATCTTTCAGCAAGGTGCTTTAGCTTTTCTATCTAAAGAGTGAGGTCCGCCTCTCTTCGGCTGCGCTCGTTTAAACTCCCGAGAGCGTTCTCCTTGCGCTCTGGCAGGTAAAACTTCTATCCATTTGTATTTATATTTATACTCTGCGGTCAGATCGGCCTCTCTTTTCCCGCAACTAAAGATTGGTAGATCGGTGATCCGCGCCTTCTAACATATGAAAGGATAGATTGGTAGATAGGTGATCCGCCATCCAACATAATTTTGATTCCCGTGATGGAGATCTTTGAAACGCTGCTCATAAATATTACATCGCACCCTGAAGATCTTTGGCAAGGGGTATATGTCAAGAATAATGATGGATGGCAACAGAAGCACCCTTTCCCATGGCCCGTAGTAATCTATCCTTTCTGAAAAGGCGTACCGAGGGTGGCACCTCAAAATTCTTGCGGGCCCCCAACCCCAAAATCTGGAAAAAGGGGGCGTGGTTTTTTTTATAAGGCTAATTTGAATTTTTAAAAAAACTTTGAAGATTATTTTGATTGTTTACAAAAATAAATAAGTCACTTACACGTTTTTATAACTCATGTAAGTAATTTTCAAAAATTTCGCGACCCGTTCTCGGCTGACGCCACGCACCTTACTTGAAAAAAATTTTTGCCCCCCCCCCCAAGCAGAAATATCCTGGTACGCCACTGCGTTTCTGGTATCCTCAAATTGCGATGCTTTTTAAAAATACGCGACGTTAGGTTAACTAGAAACTAACTAGAAGATATACATGTCAATCTTCATTACTTCTCGTACTCCTTTTCTGTTATTTAGCATCTTGAATGATGATGCCGTGATGCCAGTGAGTGGACGAGTGTGCCAATTTTGCACAGGAAAAAGCCCATAACTCGCTTCGGAAAGGAGCGCGGCAGCTAGGAATAGCATTTTTGGAATCGGCTTTCGAAGTTGATTCAGAATACAATACCGCTCTCAGAACGTGCAAAATTTCCGTGAATGTCGCGGAATTCCCGGAATTCCGCGAAGGTCCGCCAAATTTTTGGAATTTCGCGGCATTCCGGGAATTTCGCGGAATTTTTGGAATATCGCCATACCTTGCTTGAAAAATTGCTAAAATGGTTCATGAAGCGTGAATACGCTGGGTTTCGCCACGCCCGTTAAGGCATTCAACATTATGATCATCATCTAAGCTGATGATCGTAATGCTGAATACGCTGGGTTCGCCACGCCCGTTAAGGCATTCAACATTATGATCATCATCTAAGCTGATGATCGTAATGCTGAATGCCGAACTAAGTGCAGAATACCTGAATGGAAGACGAGGTTTTTGAAAATGTAAGGCGGATTCTCGACATTTCTAGGTACTACTCACTCTAGTTTCAGGCTCAATATCATGAGCCCACACGTGGAGCAGCTACTTACAAGAGAAGCTACCTAACTTAGCCTCAGCCTTTTGGAAGGGGACATACATACAATACCGCTCTCAGAACTTGCAAAATTTCCGTGAATGTCGTCCGCAAAGGTCCGCGACATTTCCGGAATTTCGCGACATTCCGAGAATTTCGCGGAATTTTCGGAATGTCGCGAAATTCCGGAAATGTCGCGGACCTTTGCGGACGACATTCACGGAAATTTTGCAAGTTCTGAGAGCGGTATTGTATGTATGTCCCCTTCCAAAAGGCTGAGGCTAAGTTAGGTAGCTTCTCTTGTAAGTAGCTGCTCCACGTGTGGGCTCATGATATTGAGCCTGAAACTAGAGTGAGTAGTACCTAGAAATGTCGAGAATCCGCCTTACATTTTCAAAAACCTCGTCTTCCATTCAGGTATTCTGCACTTAGTTCGGCATTCAGCATTACGATCAT